CTTAACCTCGTTCCAGCGTAAATCCCGTGTTCCACATCTGTTTGCCTTAACCTCGTTCCAGCGTAAATCCCGTGTTCCACATCTGTCCTGATCCTCTTTGAGTCAATTCTTGCATTTCATTAAGAAGCTTAGCTTAACTTAAAGAATGAGTGGTTTCAGAACCCTTGCTTACCAAGCAGTGGAGACGCTTTAGGTAAGGAGATATTTGACATACTCTTCTCACACTGTGGACGGTTTTCCTCAGTGGTGAATGCATGGGAAAATAAGGTAGGATGACTGTGTTCCGAAACAAAACCACAGAGTATTGATCATCAGGATATTGGAGACGGAATGATAGGCAGGACCAGCAGCAGAGTGTTTCTGAATTTACTAGACTAGAACTACCATGGATAAAAACCTTTTGGTTTTCAAATATGGTAGATTCTGGGTAAACCTTGACTAAAATGTTGATTTTGCTCTAATTTCAATATGATCACAAGAGTTTCTCTGCAGGAAAGACACAGATGGATACTTTTCATTAGCTTAAAGAACAATCGGTATTCAGAATAGCTGTTCTATTTATATTAAAAATACTAAATGCAGGCATGTGGATATTCTGAGTCTGTGACTTTGAATGTGACACATCCATATGTAACATTCTCATATTCACTATCAGAATGCTGCAATTTCTTCAGCCTTCCATTGGTCGCTAATGCCAACAATATGGTTTGACATAATTTTCAGATCTTATCGACTTTCTGTTGAATTTAGAGAAGTTATTTCTACTTATAACTATATTATTCTGTCAACCAAAATCGTAATAATACACGTCTGGATTGTTAAGGAATTTTGTGACCTCAGACCTTCAGTCAAGGTAATTTTAAGTTTGATTTTGCCTCTTCAGAGTTGGCATGCATCCATAAAGTAAAGTTTATAACTATGAGATTTTTCTTTATTATTGATGAAATCAGAGATATTTAGTTCAAGGGTATGAAAAGTATTTCCCATTGACCAGTTCTTCATTTTGGACTTAACGCAGAGACCTAACAATTAAATCCACAATTTTTCATAAATCGTTCACTGTTGACTTCTCCCATTTTTAAAATAGAAATATACTTATCTTCTATAAGAGACAGCTGGTTGTTCTGATTTAGAGATAAACCTGATGAAAGAAAGTTGGATCTAAATATCCAAAACTTAGAAGGTACAGTTATTCATTACTGTACTGATTAAAGGGTAATTGTTCAGTCATGTATAGTGTTGGCACAAGAAAAAGCCTAGGGCAGTTGGTAATGAGTGATGTGATGTGGAGATTGCAAATAGCATTCAGTTATTTACTTTACGTTATTAGGTAGTTTGACAACGTATTTAAAGAAACATTATCATGCTGACTAAGAATAGATGTTTTAGATCATTATAAAGATCTCTCTTTGCTTTTAACATGAAGATTATCTTAGGTTTTTTATATTTTTGATTTGCATTCAGAAAGCTTGACAACTGATTAGCACATTAAGATTACAGATATTTTTATAGCTCCTCCTTTTTAAATATTTTAAACAGCTTTAAAATTAAGTGTACATGATCAGTAGTTTGTAACAATATTATCCTTTACTCTGAGACCTTGGCAAACATTACAATACATGAGCTATTAAACTTTACAAGTGCCTCAGAACCGTAAAGGATATATATAGTAACATCACTTCACTCTTTGAAAAGAAGCCAGTTTCTTACGGAGAACTCGGTGGACTTTCTATAGCTTCATGGCGTTTCACATAAGGGCAGGAAGGAAAGCAAAGTGCTAATTCATTTAATTGAAGCTAACCAGAGGATTTAGATAGAAAGGACTGACCACATTTTACTTCTCTGCCAATTTGCATTTTCCCTACCTGCAGCATTAATGTGCCCTCGTGCAATCACCTGAGGGAAATTTGGCAGAGGCACTGGAATTAACAGCTTTCTCCTTTTAAAAATAAAAAGGTGTCAACAAATGTTTAATGACCGGTTGAGCTCAAGTTTCTGGTTTCACCCTTTATCAGAAGAAAGGATAGCACCTTCAGAAGAGATGGAGGTCAGTCCAGGTCTACCTGGGCGGTTGCTGAAGGAGCCTAAGTACAGCACATGCCCTCTGCAGGACCTGCTGTTTCCCTGTAAAGTACTTTCCGTAAATTCCTTGGCCCTCACTTTCACAGAAATTGTATAAAGTCTATATAACTCTTTTGATCAGTAGAAACACATGTAGGTTTGACCTCTGTTGCTCTTGAGGGAGAAAGTACACCTAGTGGTTAAGGCAAGAGTTCTGGAATCATACCAGCATTCCACATACAAGCTATTTCAAGTTAATTAAGTCCCACATATCTCCAGTTTTCCCATTATTAAAAGAGGATAATGAAGGACCAAATTCACTGGGTCAAAGTGAGGTTTAAGTCAGATAGATATATATGTAAAGGATTTTTCACAATAAAGAGCTCTATCAAATCAATAAGAAAAAGAGAACCCAATTTTTAACATGGGCAACAGATTTAAACAGTTACTTCATAAAAATAAGATACCAAATTTGCAAGAAACATACAAAAAGCATACATAAGATGTCTTCTTTTTAAGAGTATCAGAATATGTGCTTGGCTGTATTCACTGCTCATCATGTCTGTGAGATGTATCCATATTGTAGCCTGGAGCAGTTGTATGTTTTTCTACATCATTACTCATCAAGATAATGATAATTAAAACTACAACGAGATACCACCATACCCCCACAATGGCTAATATAAAAAAGACTAGCAATACCAAGTATTGGCAAGGATGAGTAGCAACCAACTCATTGTTAGTAGGAGAATTAATACAACCACTTTGGAAAAAGGTGGTCGGTGTGTACTAAAGGTGAACATATGCCTTTTCTCTGACCCAGCAGTCCCACTGCTAGGTATGTATAACCCAGAGGAGTGGGAGCTTATGTCCACGAAGACACGAACAAGACTGTTTATAGCAGCTTTGTTCATAATTGCCTAAAACTATGAATAACTGGAATGTTCATCAATAGAATGGATAAATAAAGCATAGCCTACATATGTAATGGAGTTCTAGCCACATTAAGGAAAAACATACAATTGCTGCAGGCTACAATATGGATACATCTCACAGACATGATGAGAGTGAATAGAGCCAAGCACATATTTTGATAAACTCTTACAAAGAAGACAGTGCATGACATATGCAAAGGGTTTAATACATGTGGAGCTGCTCTTCCTAGTTTGTTAAAAGCCTGTACCTTTACTATCAAAACACTCCTGTCCATATTTTGTCCAAATTCTTAGAGCCCTTTTAAGATCTTTCAGTAACTTGGAAAGAATCAAGAGCTACTTTTACTGAAACCCGGAAACTTGCTGTGACCTGTCTCTTCCCTTCCTCTTCTCGCTCTCTTACTGTGAGAGCTGCTGGCTCCCAGTTCGTTTGAATAGCTGAGTTGTTCCTGCCAAACTCCTTCTTTATGGATCCAGTCAACAATCAGCCGCCCACAACTGATCACAATGACTTGGGGATTTTGCAAGTTTTTGTTCTTTCAGCTCTTGCACTGATGCAGGAACAAAGCTGCCTTTCACGATAGTTGGTACCTGAAAATTGATCTGTAGTGAATAGAAGGACAGGTTTTACGGAATGTCATCCAAAAAAATTTTATGAGCTTACTTAATAATTTGAAGCAGTATTTTATTTGAAGGAGAATATTTGATTTGCAGGATATAGTAACCTTAGGAAAATTCTATTAACATAACTAAAAATAGAAAAATTTTTGTGTGATTTTTTTTTTTAAGTTGGGGTGTGTTTAAATACTTAAAGCCTCGTTTAATGCCTATACAAGTAAGCTGAAACATGATTTACCATAAGACAGGGCTATATTCAACCTTATAACTAAAGAACTTTTATTATGCTGTCTGCTCTCACACAGTCAATAGCAGAGACCAATGCGATGACCTGGGCTAGCAATGTTGTAAAAGTAAATAATATTTGGAGTACAGAAATATTTTTTTTGATGCTGTTCTGACATACACAATGTTTACCAAAGAAAATGTTATAACCATTAGAAATGATTAGGGGTTAGCTATGTCAAAATTACTGTTTATTTAGAACATCTCAGAAAAAATATTACTTAAGTTTTGTCTATCTAGTTTGTTCAGATTTGTTTATTTAGGTTAATAACTGCTTGGCTGTCCTCATAATTATTTTACGGTAAAGCGTGATAGTCATAACATCTATATGTTTAAAAATTGTATAACACATTTAATGTAGTTTGCCATTTGACTCTCCTAGAAATTTTTACTTTATGCATATGATTTAAATCCAATTAAGTATAAATCAGATTTATCTCAGTAATTCAAAAAGGTAGCTGCAATTACTCATGCTTTAATATATAAAGAAACTGAGATTCAGAGAGGTTTAGTAAAAGGCTTGAAATCATGTGGTAAGACTGATTCTTGTTACTTGGGAGGTTTTACTGCATCTCACTGTGCCTTGGTTTATCTTAATGCCTCTTCCCACAGATTTGCCACTGCTCAGAATCCCTACCTCCTAAGACGCTCCATCACTAGCCTTAGACATGTCAGACTGTCAGGAATCTGTGGGGTATGCGGAAGTCAGTTAGATCCAAAGTCTGCAACTTAGGATGTGGCCTGGTTGGAGGTCTGGATTTATGTGTGGATGATCAAGTAGAGGGTGATTAACCTATGAGAGGGTCAGATTGCCCAGTCAGCGTAGAGTGAGAAGGACAATGATCAATGGATGGAATGCTTAAATATCAGCATATGAGGAATAGGAGGAGGAAAAGGAGTCCGTGTCTCCTAGACAGAGAAGGACTGGTAAGAGAGATTCTAGAACTAGGAGAATTCGGAGTATCAGCTGCCAAATAGTGGTTCTGAGAAGCTGGTGTTTAAGAGGATCAGACATAGCACAGAGATCCGGGAAGCTAGGGACTGAGTCCGTCTCTTGCGTTTGTCAATTAGGTGGTTACTGGGGACTCGGAGAACGAGTGGTTTTATTAGAGTTTTGGTGAACTGAAGCTAGATTATGACAAATCAGATGTCAGGAAGTGGAGGGAAATGTGCTGTCCAGTACCATGGCCACTGGCCACAGTGGCGGTTAAGCACTTGTGATGTGTGGCTGGTGAAGATTGAGACCTGCTCTAAGTTTAAATGCACGCAGGATTTCAAAGACAGTGTGCAAAAGAGATTGTGTAAAACATGCCATTGATTATTTTTTATAATGATTACATGTGGAAATGATAATATTTTGGATATATTGGGTCAATTAACATATATGAATAAAATTAATTTTACATGTTTCTTTTTACATTTTCTAATGCAGCTTCTAGAAAATTTTAAATTATATATGTGGTCACATTTGTGGCTCACATTATATTTCTATTGGACAGCATTGGTATGGACTATTCTCTTAAGAAGTTTCACTTAAAAAGAGAAAATAGCAAGCAGATGGCTTGTAGATGGAATTGCAAGGTCAAAGGGAAGGGCTTTTAAACTTGTCTGTGGCCCCCAGAAGAGGGAGAGATTGAAGGGAAGACAAGAGAGAGTTCAACTAATGGAGCATGATTCCCTAAGAGGGGAGGCAGGGAGTCAAGCTTGCAGGTGGAGGGATGAGATTTTCCACAGGAAGACACCTCATCCTCTGAACTCTGACGTGAGAAGGCGAGAACAGATCTAAATTTAGATGAATGTATAGATGAGGGTAGAGACAGGAAGTTCACAGCATATGGAGTATAAAAGGTTTAATAGATCACATGGATTGAAACTAGGATGGATTTGTGTGACCTACAAAATTTTTGACTGAATTAGGATTTTGTGTATTTGGGATTATAAATCTTTTTGTCGTAAGGAGCTTTCTGTTGTGTAAGGATGTGTTAAGATAGTTAATAATGAAGACTCATACCTGGTCTACAAATGAAGTGCTGTTCTTGATACAAGTTATGTTATTTATAGGAGAGTTTGACACCGTGCAGAGCCCCTCCACGCCCATCAAAGATCTTGACGAGAGAACATGTAGGAGTTCTGGGTCAAAGTCCCGAGGACGAGGCCGGAAAAATAATCCCTCCCCACCTCCCGACAGTGACCTGGAGGTATGCTGACTTGTCCTTAACGAGTGTAATAGGATGTTTTATTTCGTTGAATGATATAATCTATACCTTACAATTCTATAAAGTTTCAAGCTTAAAGAAAAAAAATATATCGAGAATTGAGTGGACCTACTTTGTACAGGCAATTCACAGCTCCGAAGTTTGAGATTTCATCCATTATAATGGCAAAATTAAAAACAAAAACAACTTAAAAATGATAATGCTTTACACATTCTAGGCCTGAGATAATTGCATCTTTTAGTCCAAATTGGCACAAACAGAAATTTTAAAAATAAAACCATTGTTTGTGGGATAGTTTTCTCAGAAACACTCTATTTGGTAGTGACCAAGATAATAAAAGATGTTTATATGGGTCAATAAATTTAAAAAGGTAAAATTAATCTGTATGTAAAGGAAAAATTGTCTTCCGAAAATAGGAAAAATTCCAATCATTTGGTACATATGTTAAAATTTTTATATCTGTAAAAATATGTATGTATCATTTTTTCTGGTTAAGAGCTCTTTTTTGATATATCCATAGTAAGCAGGTTGAAATTTATTATAAAAATCAGGGGAAACTATTCTTAATTGTAATTTGTTATTTCTTATACAACTGCATACTTCAATTAAGAAAAAAATTAAATTTGCACATTTAGTAAAGTCCAGTAATCATCATTGTGCCTCTTCATAAGAGATCATTTCCCTTACTTGAACCACAGCAGCAGATTCAAATGCCTTCAAGAACCCAGCAGGTGACAGAAATGAGTGAACTGGGCTGGGAGCCAGCAGACTGGGGCACAGGGAGGTTGGCCCACGATGAAGGGGCCCACCGTCACTGCCAAGTGGAAAGTCAGCCAGCATGGCCACCACTTCCAGGTTCTCTGCTGCCGTCAGAACCCTGAAGTTGGAGTGCAATCTCCTGATCTTCAAATGTTGATCAATAATATGAAATCTTTCAAAGCCCTGTGCAGGCCAAACACCCCATCTGATGGCCTAATCTGACCCGAGGGTCCACACTTTGCAATTTCTATTTAGAGATCACTCATTGATTCTTTTAAATATTTTTAAAATTTTAATTTTTGCATGAATTGCCAAGTTTCATGAATCCATGAGGCATAGAACTTTAAAATAGAGTTTCAAGCACACTTCTATCATAAAGTCCAAATGTGTCTTTTTGGGTATTAACTGCAAGTAAATATTTGGGTGAATTCACTCAAATTAAGACATCTGATTTTTAAGCTTGTTATTACTTGTGTCACTCTTGTTTGTTGGCTTTTATAGGCATTAGATCTGGCAAATTTGGAAAAAAATTAATGGAGTAGCATAATTTTCTGTAAAAGGGTTGTATCAAGATCATATCGAACAACAAAGTGAGATGTTTTCTACGTGTAGAGAGATTTCTGTTTCCTTAGAACTCGGTCATTCTTTGGTATGTATCTTTCTCTTCAGCGCGTGTTTGTCTGGGACTTGGATGAAACCATCATCGTTTTTCACTCATTGCTCACAGGGTCCTATGCACAGAAGTATGGCAAGGTAAGGAACGAGAAATTTTACCCTAAGACACCTTGCGAGAATTTTACTTTGTTCAAAAATCAAGAGCCATTTAACAATATGTGTAAGTGCGATTATTGCAGTCAGTCAAATCTGCTCTTAATTATTTATTTCCAGTGGCACATTGTTCTTTACTGTGAACTGGCAAATTTTACAAAACTAATTAGAAATTGGATTTTTGTTTCTTCCTGATCACGTTGAGTTTTTTGCATCAAAAGCAAGCTTATTACTCTGACATAATTATTTTAGAAAAATGTTTTGTAAATTGAAACAGACATTAAACATTATAAAATCATGTATTATTCTCTAACAAGGGAACTTTAAGAAATTGCTTGAATTAATTTGTTGCACCAAAGGTTGCTGTAGAATGCCATTTGAAATAAGGAAGTAATCTTTTGTCTGACAGATCCTTTGGATTTATGAATAAAAGTATTTTTGTAACTTTGAGTAAGCATGTGAACAGAGACTGGAAATAACACCCCCCAACGCAGAAATTCAGAGACAGAGGTCTCGTTACTTCTCTTCCTTTCTCGCTTGCCGGTGTTGTTTGCATGGTGAGCTAGCTTCTTGCAGCAGTGCTGTTTCACAGCTGGGTGAGTGCTGTTCCCAAGACTGATGCCGCTGCAGCAGGCTTTTCAGCTGGAAACACTGTCGTTCAGGCCGTCACTGTTTGAGTCTGTGACTGCAGGACTCATAATCTAACCACAGTCAATTCAGAACCTGTTGGCCTGCCTTCAGTTAACTGTATTCAAAGTTGTGTCTGACTTTGGTTCCTTTATATATCACCCTTACAGAAGTGTCTCCCTATGTCTTTCTAGTGTCACATTATTTAATGGGGTCTCCTGTCAGCTCAACGTGCAGTTTTTAGCAACTTTGTTAAGCTTTGTCTTCTAGACTAGTAAGCATGAATTGCGCTCAAGTGTTTCCTCCTAAATTGCACTCTTGGTGAATCTGCACTGCCTTTGATTATTGGTATAGGTAATGAACGTTGCTAAACAGATGTGACAGGTAACAGTTTTGTTTAATGACCCTTTAGAAGAAGGAGTCTTAGCCCCTTTATCACAACATCACCGTCTAAAGCAGTGGTCTCCAAAGCAGGATGTACACATATGTGCCATTGAGATAAGGAAAGAAAATATTTGTACATGCACACACGTGTATCTTACAGTTTCTATTGTTATCTGTTTTATAATGCACATAATTTATAAATACATGCATATGATTATAATTTAAAGAATATGTATATAATTTATAAGTAAATTGCCTGTACATAAATTTGGGATGTACACTCAAAATTCTATTGCTTATAGAGAACACAGTCTAAAAAGTTTCCAGACAATAATCTAAAGCATTTCTTCTGGAATAATTTTGGCTTGTGAGGAATGCACAGTAAATCCTGTTGAACTGATTGCAATGTTTTTGTGTAGCTAAGTTCCATATTAGATAAATGTTTAAAATAAACAATCTAACTTGAAGACATGAATCCAAATAAAGTTCTCTTCAAAATAGTCACCCTTAGAGGCTATACCTAACTATCCATGTTGCTTTCATTGTGCCAAATCAGTGGTGGAACTCATCTTTTGAAATTACCTTTAGATTTTTAAAATATTTCCTGACTTCAAACCTTCATCCTTTTGTGATAATGTTGATCCTTAGAAATAGTAAGATCACTGAACCCAAGGTGATGAATAAGGAGCATGGTAAAAATGTCACCATATATATTTATATATATATATATATATTTTTTTTTTTTTCTTTTTGTTGAAAGTGCCATAGAGTTGCTCCCATCCCAGAACTGAGCGTGGAGTTCCATTGGGATAAGAGGGGTTACCAATACAGAGGCAAGGAGGGGTGGTGAGCCGTAAGAAAACAAACACATGGAGCAATGAAGCTACTTTTCCTGAGTGCCTCATAAACTGGCTCTAAGAGCAGCTCTGAAAGCAACATTCTCACACTTCCCTCAGCAGGGTTGCATCACTGAAATAAAACTGTCCCCTCCCCAGACGGCCACCTGGACATGCAGTGTTCATTTCGACATTCAAGTTCTATTATTTTAAAGTATTGACAAAAAACTTTGTTCAAATACAAAATAGAGACATCCCCTATGCTTACAGAAGCTTAAAACAGCAGAGCTTACCGAAAGGGTGGGGCCGAGTAAGGGGAAGAAGGGAACTAACATTTATTTAATGCCCAGGATGTGCCAGATATTAAGCGTCACAACAGTTTAAGATGTAGGTTGTTCTCCCCAGTCTGTAGATGAGGAAGTGTACTCCGAGAGGGAATAAAATGTGTGCAGCACAGCTAGTCAGTGGCAGGAATGCGTCCTGAGGCCCCAAAGCCCATGTGATTTCTGCTACAGCACATCGCATGGCATAGACAGTTAATCTAATGAATGCAATATATAAGTGACATTTCCTAAAAGGAATAAGGACAATTAGTGATGTACTGTGTAGGCAGTTGTGTGAGTTCTCCTTTAAGTTGGAATAATTCTAATTATCTTCTCTCAGACAATTGGAATATTTTCGTTTCACAGCAATAGGGGTGGTAGTTAAGGACCGGAGCCTTTGACTCAGATATCCTAACTTTGAAAACACTGAGACCTGAGACCAGAAATACTCACAGCTTTCTGACCTCGGGCAAGTTGCTTAATCCCTCAGTTATTATTCACTTTCACAAACGTTATCCCGTATCACTCTCTAATTATATAATTACTCTGCTGTAACTTATTGCAATCCAGTTTCTGTGGATGAGGAAACCAGGGTTATGAGGGTTTAAGTAACCTGACCAAGGTCATAAAATGATCAATGCTGGTACATATGTTGGAAACCAGGTTAGTCTCGTAACAAGCCCTTGTTCTTTATACTATTCTGTGCTACTGGAAGGGGGTCTGTTGGAACTTACCATGTTGTATAATGTTTTACTCAGGGCAATTTAAGAAAATGAAAGTGGAAAAGTTTTTTAGTTTATCTTTTTTTCTAATCAAAATGAAAATACCCTTATTGAATTCCATGAAAAGCAACTTAGATTACCTTATTTATTGAATTATTATGTATACTTTTCTAAAAGTCGTTTGATCATTGACGTTTTTCTTAATGTCAGTAAGGAAATTGGCTTTGCCTTTTAGCTAGTAAGACTTTAATATCTTGGCGTATGAAGAAGTAGCTAAATAAGGGATGTTCGGTCAGGCCCATCTTGTGAAGCTGGGGACCATGTAGCTCAGGGGTCATTGAAGAGGCCAAAGAGGGCGTTGGGTAGTCTCAGCTCACCACAAACCAGAGATGAAAGTGGTGAACTCCGCAGACGGACTGTATTCATCTAACAAATATTTACTTAACTTGATGTGAGTTAACACTCAGAAAAGAGTTTCCTGCTCTCATGGAGCTTACAAGCAAACAAAGCCATTTCAGGTAGTGATAACTTCTGTGAAGACAATCAAACTAGGTCATATAGAGAGTAACTGGGGGTGTGACTGTGGAGGTGATGTTGACACTGAGACCTGAATTACAAGAAGGAGCTAGCCATGTGGATTAGGGGAAGGGGAGGGTGGGGAGAGATTCCAGGCAGAAGGCACAGAGGGACCCTGGGGCAGGAACAGTCTTCCAGTGTTCCAGGAATATAAAGAAGTCTAGTGTAGCTGGAAGGTTGTAAAAGAGGGAGAGAATAATGCAAGGTAAGAACAGAGAAATAGGTGGGGGGCCAGATTGGGTAGGGTATCTATGGCAGGGCTTTTGGAGTTTATTCTAGGTGCAGTGGAAGCTGTTGGAGGGTTTTAGGCTGAGTCAGGACATGATGGTTTATAATTGGCTGCTATGTGGAGAATGGGATTTAGAAGAACAAGGGTGAGCGCAGGAGACCATGTAGGAGGCTGCTGTGCAGGAAGTAGGAAGTGGTCGTGGCTTAGGCTGGAACAGTGCTTCTAGAACTTTAGTGTGCGTCACAGTAACCCACAGGGCTTGTTAAACACAGATGGCTGGGTCCCACCCCCAGAATTTCTGATTCTGTAGGTCTGGGATGGGGCCTGAGGTTTTGCATTTAGAATAGATTCCCAGATAAACTTGATGGACTATGCTTTGAGAACCACTAGATTAGAGTATTTCTCACTTTTTTCCTTGGAAAAACTAGTTCTGGAACATGTTAATTGATAGTTTTCGTGGAAAGGCCGAGGGTCAAAGAAATTTGGGGAGTACTTGCATTTTATAGCCATTCAGAGCATATCATCTTATTAAAGTTCCCAAGAGGTTTTACAGTTAAGAGCCCTTTAGGGGCCGGCCCGGTGGCACAAGCGGTTAAGTGTGCGTGCTCCGCTGCGGTGGCCCGGGGTTCGCCGGCTCGGATCCTGGTCGCGCTCCGACGCACCACTTGTTAAGCCATGCTGTGGCGGCATCCCATATAAAGTAGAGGAAGATGAGCACGGATGTTAGCCCAGGGCCAGTCTTCATCAGCAAAAAAGAGGAGGATTGGCATCGGATGTTAGCTCAGGGCTGATCTTCCTCACCAAAAAAAAAAAAAAAAAAAAAAAAAGCAAAGGTTGGGGGACTGGAGATATCCCATTTCCACCAGGTAGCCAATCCCCTCCCCCATTGTTCTCAATCACCCCAAAGTGTTCCCTAGTCCTAGGGGTTGCTCAGAACACAGTCTGAAGGCAATAATCCAGCTGAAGGAACCCAGAGCTAGGGGTTAGAGGGAAGTCCTAGGCCTGGCTGTGCCTTAGGCGAGTCATTTAACTTCTGAGCCTGTTTCCTTATCTGAAAATGGTTATAACCGTTTCCTTCCAGGGTTATTGGATGGATTAAATGAGATCATGTACATATAGAAAAGTAGCACTCAGCTCTGAAAACTGTCATCCACCTCCCAGCCTGGAGAGACTTAAGTAAAAATACACATTATTTCCCCCAGATGAGAAATGACTAAAGGCAGAAATTTTCAGACATGCAGATGGTCAATGTTGGCACGAAATCATACCTCAGCGGCCTGAAATATAG